TAGTTAGAGTCTTGTGCTTAACTGACTGAGCCATCCAGGTGCCCCCCCTTCCTTTTTTTGAGGGTGAGAGAGAGAGAAAGCTTCCAGGGTCTTTTAAAGAGAGGAGTATAACATTATTTGCAAATATTGATATACCTGGGAAATCCTGGAAAATATACTGAAAAACTATGATAAATGGGAATTAAGGATGTGATTGGGAACAAAATTAATATATAATATTAGAAAAATCAAAGGCCTTTTTCTATATGTAAAACAACCAGTAAATAGAGGTAAATGGAAAACCAGCGAAGGTTGCACAATTTTTTGGATCTACTAAAAACCATTTAATTGTATACTTTAGTATAGTGAATTTTATGGTATGTGAATTATATCTCAAAATTCAAGCTAATTAAGAGAAAATGCAGACAGTGGTGCACTCTGTGGTTAAATTGTAGGGCATCTTCCACTTACTAGCTGTATGACCCTGTCACCTAACCTCACGCGCTGTGTCTGACTCTTCATCTGCCCATCTCATAGAGCTGTGAGGATTAAGTGAGCCAATATATGCAAAGTGCTTAGAACGGGACAAATAATAAGAGCTCAGTAAATGTATTGTTTTTGGTAACAATATGTTTATAAGGCTGTTGTCGACATTACCCTTCTGTTCAGGTACAGGTGGTTCCTTTGCACTCATTCAAGTCTTTTTTTGTTTAGATTTTTATTTATTTATTTGAGAGAGAGTGAGCACAAGTGGAGGGAGGAGCAGAGGCTGAGGCATGGGGAGAAGCAGTCTCCCTGCTGAATAAGGAGCCCAATGCAGGGGTTCCATCCCAGGACCCTGAGATCGTGACCTGAGCCGAAGGCAGGTACTTAACCGATTGAGCCACCCAGGTGCCCTTTCTCTGAAGTCTTGATTGTTGTGGCCACTGACGTCACTGCTTGGTTAGCTCAAGGATCAGTTAACCATGGGACAGAGCCTTACGTAAACACCTCGAACCAATGTCTCCTGGTCTTTGCCAAGGGCCTCTGTGTGCCTGTTAGAGACTCCTTCATTAATCACCCACATAGTTTACAGCTCTGCTTTTAGCCTTGTTAGCTACTTGGGCAAACCTCAAGGTCAATCAGAGGTGAGAGTTTAAGACATTTTCAGGTCTGTTTTTGAACATATGCATGGTCCTATGCATGTCATGGCGGTCTAGATTCCCAGAAATATACCTGAGATTTTCAAAACCCCTTATGGGCATCTCATTCGTCCATCTTTCCTTTAAAGCTTTTTGGTGGGTTTGTTACTTGCCCCACCTATTATCCTTTGCCTCAGGCCACTGTCCTGGTAAAACATTCAACAACCTCCCCCTTCCCCAGAAACATTTAGCACGGGGTACTTTTTTTTTTTTCCTCTTATGATTTTTTTTAAATTTTATTTTATTATGTTACATTAATCACCATACAGTACATCATTAGTTTTGGATGTGATGATCCACGATCCATTGTTTTTGTATAACACCCAGTGCTCCATGCAGAACGTGCCCTCTTTAATACCCATCACCAGGCTAACCCATCCCCCCTCCCCCCTCCCCCCCAAAACCCTGTTTGCTTCTCAGAGTCCATAGTCTCTCATGGTTCATCTCTCCCTCCGATTTCTCCCCCCTTCATTTTTCCCTTCCTTCTCCTAGTATCCTCCATGCTCTTCTTTATGTTCCACAAATAAGTGAAACCATATGATAATTGACTTTCTCTGCTGGACTTCTTTCACTTAGCATAATCTCCTCCAGTCCCATCCATGTTGATGTAAAAGTTGGGTATTCATCCTTTCTGATGGCTGAGTGATAGTCCGTTGTATATATGGACCCCATCTTCTTTATCCATTCATCTGTTGAGGGGCATCTCAGCTCTTCCCACAGTTTGGCTATTGCGGACATTGTTGCTATGAACATTGGGGTGCATATGGCCCTTCTTTTCACTACATCTGTGTCTTTGGGGTAAAAACCCAGGAGTGCAATTGCTGGGTCATAGGGTAGCTCTATTTTTAATTTTTTGAGGCACCTCCACACTGTTTTCCAAAGTGGCTGTACCAACTTGCATTCCCACCAACAGCGTAAGAGGGTTCCCCTTTCTCCACAACCTCTCCAACATTTGTTGTGTCTTGCCCTGTCCATTTTTGCCATTCTAACTGGTGTAAGGTGGTACCTCAGTGTGGTTTTGATCTGAATTTCCCTGATGGCTAATGATGATGAACATTTTTTCATGTGTCTGTTAGCCATTTGTGTGTCGTCTTCAGAGAAGTCTCTTGATTTCAAGTCAAGAAATGGGCAGAAGACATGAACACTGGGTGTGTTTGAGTGAGGTGGAAAAGACTAGCCTTTTGAGCAGTCTTCTAGGGAACCACCAGGCAGGTTAAACAATTATTTCTTTTTGGGATTGAGGCTTTGAAAGAGTTCCAGCCCCATTTTCCTCCCTCCAATCCTGGGAATGTGGGCTGTTACTTTTCAGGTTCTGCCAACCTGGAAAGTGGGAAATGGAACTAGGGTGAAAGAAAATGCCACAATGTTTGCTGCCCTTCCTGAGATCCAGACATTCTCTTGCTTAAATGCTTCCCAGGTCGCTGTAAGCCTTTGGCTGACACTGAGTTTTGAAAAAGTTGATTCTGAATTTTTTTTTTTGCCAGTTTTATTTTTTTCGCTTTTATGGAAGGGTGAACTCTTGGAGGTCCTCCTGCTATTTCACTCCCTTACTTAATTTTTATACTTAAGAGTATTTCTAAAATTTGGGAGGGGGTGTTCTGTAAATTGGTTTTAAAGTTCACATGAAGAAATAAGTAATTAAGAATAAATTGAAAGGGGCGCCTGGGTGGCTCAGATGGTTAAGCGTCTGCCTTCGGCTCAGGCCATGATCCCAGGGTCCTGGGATCGAGTCCCGCATCGGGCTCCCTGCTCCTTGGGAGCCTGCTTCTCCCTCTGCCTCTCTCTCTCTCTCTCTCTCTCTCTCTCTGGCTCTCATGAATAAATAAATAAAATCTTAAAAAAAAGAATAAATTGAAAGTCCTCAAAAACGGTAATGATATAAGAATAGCCTCCCCACCCCCATGCCTGGCTGGCTCAGTCAGTAGAGCATGCAACTCTTGATCTTGGGGTTGTGAGTTTGAGCCCCAGGTTGGGAGTAGAGTTTACTTTTAAAAAAAAAATAGCCCCCACCCAATTTTTTTTAAAGATTCTATTTATTTATATGTTTGACAGAGAGAGAGAGAGAGAGTGCAGGAGCAGAGGGAGAGGGAGAAGCAGACTCCCTGCTGAGCAGGGAGTCTGATGCGGGGCTCCATCTCAGGACTCTGGGATCATGACCTGAGTCGAAGGTGACCCTGCCCCACCTAATATTAAGACATATATTAAAAGTACAATTATTAAGACAGTGTAGTACTGACAATAAATAGATCAATGGGACAGAATCAAGAGTCCAGAAAAAGAACCAATTTTTATGATAAATTAGTATGTAATACCCATGAGAGTGCATTTCAGTGAAAGATAAGAATTTAGTAAGTTTACTAGCATTAGGAAAAACATTAAGTTGGAGTTTTATCTAACTTCTTACAACAAAGAAATTCCAGATGTATCAAAGGTTTAAACATAAAATGTAAAATATTAAAGAATGGGGAAATAGCTCTGAGAGGTTACAAGACTTTGGAAGCAACCCAAATATCCATCAGAGTAAAATAGATAAACATATGTGGTATATTCATACCTAATGGTAATATACAACAATGAAAATATATGAACTATAGCTTATATGCAACAACGTGCTTGAATCCGAGAAATATGATGAGTTAAAGAAATAAGACATCAATGGATACTCTAAGAATCATAGAATATGACTCCATTCATATGGAATTAAAAATGATCAAAATAAACTATATTTTTAGGCATAAATCCAAATGTGGTAAAATTGTAAAGAAGCAAAAGGAAGTGACTTTTACAAAAATCAGGATGGTGGTTAGCTCTGGGATGATAGTGGCATGGTGAATAGAGAGGGAGGCTTCTGGGGGTGAAGGGAATGTTCTAGTTCTTGACTTGTTTAGTGACTATATGGGTATTTATTTAATAGTTATGCATTCAACTATTCACGTAGGTTTATGAACTCACCTGTGTGATTGTTATAGTGCACCATAAAAGAAGAAAAATTATAAAGAAAATGTAGTTGATTTCTCGTATTTAGCATTATATCTTGGGCAAATCTTATTTTGAGGCTGTTTATATATTTTTAATCCTATTTTCCTAGCTTCCTCTAGATTCATGCTTCCTAACAGTTAGAGAAATCTCTTTCTTTTCTCGAGCGATTCTGCGGTCCACTTCCTAGGAAATGCCACAGTATCGGTAATTAAATCATATCAGAGCGACAATTAGAAAGCTGAACGGTGGAGTGGCTGCTATCAAAATGTCATCCCACCACTGCAGGGGCAAGCGAGGCTCTCCCTTTCTCCAGTGTCATCTGGGTTTCATTTGTAGATTGATAAAAAGCCAAGCTCCAATCGTGGGCTCATAGGATTGAATTTATTAACTACTGGATGGAGATGAAATTTACCTTTCAAGGCTGGTTTGAGAATAAAATAAGGTAATAAATGGTGACTACTATGGCCTTTAATGAAGCAAGACAAATAATAGCATAAAGGATTGCTCTAGAATGGAGGAGTGATATTCTTTTTTGCATAAGTTCAAGGGAAATGATTTTTTAAATGTTTTTTTTTAAAGATTTCATTTATTTATTTGACGGAGAGAGACACAGTGAGAGAGGGAACACAAGCAGGGGGAGTGGGAGAGGGAGAAGCAGGCTTCCTGCGGAGCAGGGAGCCCGATGCGGGGCTCGATCCCAGGACCCTGGGATCATGACCTGAGCCAAAGGCAGACGCTTAAGGACTGAGTCACCCAGGTGCCCCTTAAAAATGGGTTTGATGTAATTGTTGTTTCATCTCATTGTTTGATTTTTTTTTTTTTAAATGCTGCATCCTGACATTTCTTTCCCATCTATCTCAGGACCTTTGTTTACTCATTGCTCACTAGAGGGAGGCCTTTCCCAGTTGCGTTTCTTGTCAGAGGATTTGTCTTCTGCACGGGAAATGGACTGCTCCAAGCCTACTATCTGATTTACTGTGCTGAATACCCTGCTGAGTGGTACACAGACGTACGGTTTAGCCTGGGTAAGTAAACCTGGCCACTTCTTACCCACACCCTGCCTAAATCCCCAGAACCTTCCCCCCACCCACTGCAACTACCCCCCAGTGAATTCCATTCTCCTCTTCTCTCCCTGCTACCCCGCTCTTTTCTTTATAAAACAGCGAGAAAGCTCTTTGAAAATCATGTCGCTCTGTACCTCAGAATCCTCCAGTACATTTCTGCTACTCTTGGGATAAAAGACGAATTCTTTATCACTGCCTATGCCTGTGACGCCTAAATGTTGTTGGTCCTGCCCGATTTCCCCACTGCATTTCTTGCCTCTGTCCAGTTACTGTGCTGTAGTCTCGGTGGCCTTCCTGCTGGGCCTGAAATGGTCAAGCTGGTCCTGCCCCAGAGCTTTTGTACAGACCATTCCCTCTGTCTAGAATGTTCTGTCCACATATACTCATGGAGGTTGGTCCCTCACTTTATTTAGGTGTCTAACCATTTGTACCTCCTCAAAGAAACTTTTCCTGACCATTTTATCTAAAATAGTAGAAAACACTGTTGAATTTCTTTTTCATTATCTGCAAGAGGAACTCAAGTCAGGAAGGTTCGATTGTTTGTATATTATTTTGGCTTAAACCAAAATGCTGGGATTACCCCTAATTCCTCTCTTTACGTCACACATCAAATTCTCTGTCAGTTTAGTACGGCTGCATCTAGCTCCATAACATGTACCCACAGGGCTCACTTCTCCCTTGTGCCTCCGACTTGGTCCTGGTCTGAGCCCGTGATGGCCTCTTGCTGGGACCGCTACAGTGACCTTCACACTAAGCTTCCTGATGCCGGTACTGGCCTTCAGTAGCCCCTTCTGCACACAGCAGTCAGAGGGAACGTTTGAAAACACAAATGACCGGAGGATTGGTCGTATGAATGCTGATACATGCACACAATGGAGTGCTCTGGAGCCACAAGAACAAACAAACAAACAAAACAAAAACAAGGAAGATCTCTGTGTTCCTGTGAAGTATCTCCAGAATATGTGGTTAAATAAAAATAAAGTGTGAACAGTGTATCTAGAATGCTACTTTTCATGTAAAAACGATGGAAGGAAAATGTGTGTTTGTGTGTGTGTGTGTGTGTGTGTGTGTATAAAACTGGAAAAGGGAATATCGGATTGATAAAAAAAAGAAACTAATTTTAAAAAGGTGACCTGTAGGGTCTGTGGGAAAGAGAATGGGTGGCAGGCAGAACTTTTCTTTCAATATGATTTTGCCCTTTGAATCATGAAACTTAATAATTCTGTTTAAAAAAATCCAAATGGGGGACCCTGGCTGGCTCAGTTGGTGGAGCAAGCGACTCTTGATCTTGCGGTCATGAGTTTGAGCCCCCGGGGTGGTATAGAGATTACTTAAATAAATAAAACGTAAAAAAAATCTACATGGAAGACCCTAAAACTGAGAACAAACCAATAAATGTACCTAACTATATGTTGAACTGGTAATATAACCATACAGGAAAATGATTTATGTTAGTTTACAAGAAATAAGGAGAATGAAGAGATAAGTTGAATGCCACCATCAGGAAGTGAGCCAGTCTTCTTATCTAGAAAGGGGGGCATTCTGAGGTACAACTGTCTGGTGTCTTTTTAAGAAGCCAGTGCCCTGAAAATTTTTTAAAAAGGTAGGGGTCAGGTTACCTGGGTGACTCAGTCGGTTGAGCATCTGACTTTGGTTTTGGCTCAGGTCATGACCTCATGGATTGTGAGATGAAGCCCAGCGTTGGGCTCTGCACTCAGCAGAGTCTGCTTGAAGAGTCTCTCGCTCTGCCCCTCTACCTGCATGCACATGTACACCCCTCTCTCTAAAATAAATTAAAAAAAAATTTTTTTTTTTAAAGGGAAAGGGTCTGGGCAAGATTAAAATGGCCTTTAAAGAGATAATGACCAGATGCCAGGTATGGTCTTATACTGGACTTTGGTTTTCATAAACCAGCCCTAAGAAGCATTTTGGGCTATCTGGGGAAATGGAAATATGGCCTAGATATTACATAAGATGAAAATCTAGAAAGATATGCATTAAAGTGTTTAATGGTTATAATTGCTGGGTGGTGGGAAAAAGGTGTCTGGGTTTTCTTATTTTTGCTAATTCACATGTAGTATTCCATGTAACATATTTACTTCCTTTGTAACAATAATAAATGGAAATCATTTCCTATTTCTCCCCTGCTCCAAACCTGCCAATGGCTTTCTCTTGCACTTAACAATCCAAACTCCTCACCAAAGCCTACAGTGCTTAGTGTGTTTTTTTAAGTTATCATCTGTCCACATTTTCCCACTTTTCTCTCTATCTTAAAGTTTCAACTACACCAGCCTTCCTTCTGTTTTTTTTAGACAGAGTAAACCTATTCTAGCCTCAGGGCCTTTGCACCTGCTAATCCCTATACCAGATTGCTCTCCCTCAGATCTGTGCATTCTTATTATTCAAATCACAGGACAAAATGCCAAATCTTCAGAAAAGTTTTCCCTATCCACCTCATCTAAGGTAGAGACACCTCCTCCCCTCCCCAGTTCACTCTCTATCTCATGATCCTATGATTTTCTGCTTTGCAGTGACATTACATGATTTAAAATATTTTAATTATTTGAATTCTTTTCTGTCTTCTTCCACTAAGATGTAAGCTCTATGAGAACAGATACCTTGACTGTTTTCTCATTACTGTATCCTTGGTGTTTAAGATAACCCTTGGTGTATTATAAGCTCTCAATATTAGTTGAATGAATAAATGAATGAACGAGTGAACACATGAGTGAGTCTTGTACCATCCTTGTGAAATAGGTACTATTCAAATCTACATTTTACAGATGAGAAAACAGAGGCTGAGAGAGGGTCAGTGACTTGCCCAAGGACACACAGACACTGAGTCCAAGGTTTCTGCTTTGTCTCCGGCTGTGCCCGCTGTCTCCCCTCCTTCTTTCAACCTCCTGCCATTGGTATCTCTCTCTAGTTTCCCTTTCTTCCAGGCCAATATTTAAAAAAATTTATTACTGAGGCATAGTTGACATACTATGTTATATTAGTTTCAGATACATAGTGTAGTAATTCAGCAATTCTGTGCATTGTTCAGTGCTCCCCAAGATGAGTGTAGTCACCACTTGTCACCATACAACGGCCAGTGATCTTTTGACTAGACAAGACTCATTGTTTCCTGTCATAGCAAATGAGGTGAGAGTAGATCTGTTTTTAATTCAAGTGTTCTTGCTTTTTGCCTCATGTGTTTTGATCAGCACAAATACACTTTGTTGAGAGGTGGAGGTTGGGCATCTATGTGGAACAGTGAGTGTTTCTGGGGTGTCATGGTGCCCATGGGGTGCAAGACCTCGCATCCCTGATCCTGGCTCTCCTCACCTCAGACCCCGGCTTCTTTCTGAGCCAGGGAATGGGGAACAAGACTGTGTGTGAACTGGCCGTGGTTGAAACCAGTTTGCTAGGTCCCAGGCTCCCCAGTCTGACTCATGTTCCTTTCATGAGAATGGGTATATCACTCAGGAATGCTCTCAGCAGTGAGTCACAGAAAACCAGTTCATAGTGACTTAAATAATTAAGAATGTCTATTTCTTACATAACAAGAATGTCCAAAGGTAGGTGGCTTCTGCATTCCTTTAGTTGCTTACAGATATCATTAAGATCCCAGGAACTTTCTACACTTTCTATTCCACTGTTCTTAACATGTTTACCTATGGTCCTCATCATATTCACTTCATGATTGCAAGACAGTTGCTAGAGTGCAAGGCATCACATCTGGCAATGAAAGAGGAGGAAGGCAGTAGAGGTACTGGTCTCATCTTCCCTTTTATCAGGAAAGTAAAAATTTCCAAGGAAGTTTCCCTTTATATCCCTGTGACAAAAATAGGTCACATGACCACTTTTCAGCCTTCCAGCCTCTATAGTGGGGGAAGGCAAAGGAGGAGGGTTTGGAATTAGTGGTTGAGTTTGCCAACCACAATTTAATTATTTGGGAATGAGCCAAAAGTTTGCTATTCATTCATTCATTGGACAATGGTGTTGTTCCCTTTCTCTCCTCTCCCACCTGCCTCCATCATGTGACACTGTATACTGTCAGTCTTTTGGTCTATGAAAATATGGCCTCTCCACCCAAATTTGGGACAACGGCTAATTAGCTACCCTTTGCCATATCTTTGTAACGTTCTCAGAATTTGAAATTAAATGCGCTTCTCTTCTTTTAAAAAAAAGAAAAAAAGAAAACTTAGCTTGTGAGTTTTCATGTGTCCAAAACCAGGACACATTTTTTTAAAAAGATTTTATTTATTTATTTATTTTTAATGGGTTTCTTTTTTTTTTTAAGATTTTATTTATTTGAGAGAGAGAGAGAGAATGAGAGACAGAGAGCATGAGAGGGAAGAGGGTCAGAGGGAGAAGCAAATCTCCCCTGAGCAGGGAGCCCGATGCGGGACATGATCCCGGAACTCCAGGATCATGACCTGAGCCGAAGGCAGTCGCTTAACCAACTGAGCCACCCAGGCACCCTTATTTATTTATTTGAGAGAGAGAGAAAGTGTGTGTGAGAGAGCACAAGCAGGGGGAGCAGCAGAGGGAGAGGGAGAAGCAGGCTTCCTGCTGAGCAGGGAGCCCGATGTGGGGCTGGATCCCAGGACCCTGGGATCATGACCTGAGCTGAAGGCAGATGCTTAACCCACTGAGCCACCCAGGCGCCCCACCAGGATACATTTTTAACTTCTTCCCTCTGTCTTCTTTGCTAAGGTGTCTTCTTATTTATTTTGGGAATGGGAATCAACATTCATAGTGACTATATATTGCGCCAGCTCAGGAAGCCCGGAGAAGTCATCTATAGGATTCCGCAAGGTAATATCTCCCCCGCCCTCCAAATTTCCACTCTTCCCTTGGGAGCCTGTCCCAGAGATGATGCTATGAGTAGCAAATGGAGAGGGTGCAGTGAGGGCACAAATGACACAGTATATCCCAGTTTGCCTCTGACTTCTCCTTCACATTCCCTCCCAGCCCACACCACGTTTGTGTTTTCTGATCTAAACCTGGAAGTTCAGGGAGAGGCACCCTTAAGGTGCAACATCATAATACCTTGAGGGTGGGGGAGTGCAAGGCTTGGGGTAAGGTGGAAATAGGCTGCCACCTCATTACAGTAGGTAAGATTACCATGTACTGTATTAGGCTTCTCCAGAGAAACAGAACCAATAGGATATAGACAGAGATACAGCTCTAGAAACATAAGGAGATTTGTTGTGAGGAATTGGCTCACATGATCATGGAAGCTGAGAAATCCCATGATCTGTTATCTGTAAGTTGGAGCCCCGGAGAGTAGGTGGTGTAAGTTCTAGTCTGTGTACAAGAGAAGACTGATGTTCTAGCTTAAAGACAGTCAGGCAGAGAGAGTAAATTCTCCCTTACTTGGCCCTTTTGTTCTATTCAGGCCTTCAATGGATTGGATGAGGCCCACCCGCGTTAGAGAGGGCGATCTGCTTTAGTCAGTGTATAGATTTAAATGTTAATCTCATCCAGGAACAGCCCCACAGACATACCCAGAAATAAAGTTTAATCAAATATCTAGGCACACTATAGCCCAGTCAGGTTAACACAGAAAATTAGGCATCTAAGCATCATGTGTACCCACTGTGTTGGTCCTTCATGAATTAGCCAATAAAGCTGAATTGTGTATTACTTGTCTTCTCCGGTTGACCTAGACTTATCTAGTGAGTAGTCAGGGGTAGTACTGTATATATTTCCTGCCACTTGTATTTTCTTAAATGTATGGAGAGCCATAATTACTTAATCAAAAAGTAGGATGGGAGGTCTTACAAGTACAAATGCTTTCTCAGATATAAAGTCACAGAATATTTGAAATCCTAACTGTTCCCAAGAAACTGGGTGTGAAGTTGACAAACATAAGCAGGTGAGAGTGAATTAGTCCAAGGAATCCTTTGCTATTTTAGGTGGTATTTGGGTAGTTTGATGGCTCCTTTTGATGTAAATGAACCTGTTATTTACTTCAAAATTTTTCCTACATTACAATATGATATTGATATTCATTTATTAATAAAATAATGACAGAGCTACAGTGGATTCAGTAACACATTTAAATGAATTTAAATGTTGCTGACATCCTCATGGTGTCTGCATCAAACAAAAGTAATGCCAAATATTGAGATATGCCATTTGCAATTTATAGGCCCATATACCATCAACAATTTATAGACCCTCTGTAGGAGGTCAGTGGTTTCTCCCAGGGTCTGGGAAATCATGGGTCTGGAGCTGCTGATGCAGTGTCATCTTTTTTTTTTTGAATTTTTTATTGTTATGTTAATCACCATACATTACATCATTAGTTTTTGATGTAGTGTTCCATGATTCATTGTTTGTGCATAACACCCAGTGCTCCATGCAGAACGTGCTCTCTTTAATACCCATCACCAGGCTAACCCATCCCCCCACCCCCTCCCCTCTAGAACCCTCAGTTTGTTTTTCAGAGTCCATCGTCTCTCATGGTTCGTCTCCCCCTCCGACTTACTCCCCTTCATTCTTCCCCTCCTGCTATCTTCTTCTTCTTCTTTTTTATTTTCTTAACATATATTGCATTATTTGTTTCAGAAGTACAGATCTGTGATTCAACAGTCTTACACAATTCACAGCACTCACCATAGCACATACCCTCCCCAATGTCCATCACCCAGCCACCCCATCCCTCCCACCCCCGACCACTCCAGCAACCCTCAGTTTGTTCCTGAGATTAAGAATTCCTCATATCAGTGAGGTCATATGATACATGTCTTTCTCTGATTGACTTATTTCACTCAGCATAACACCCTCCAGTTCCATCCACGTCGTTGCAAATGGCAAGATCTCATTCCTTTTGATGGCTGCATAATATTCCTTTGTGTATATATACCACATCTTCTTTATCCATTCATCTGTCGATGGACATCTTGGCTCTTTCCACAGTTTGGCTATTGTGGACATTGCTGATGCAGTGTCATCTTTAAAGAAGATAACTTGAAGGAGCTTTGGGATTTTAAATATTCGCTCAATAATTAGCCAAACAAAGAAGAGCAGAGAATTCTCTTAAAAGCTAGATTGTCAAAGTTAGTTTCCAACTATTAAGGTATGTTACAGAATGATTTAAAAACAAAATATTCTTTATATAACTATGGAAAGAAAAAAATTAGTTTACTGTGGGGCAGAAAGTGGATACATTTACTATCATTGGAAATGTGTTGATTTCTGTTTACAGGTTTGATGTCAGACATGTATGGTTGCATAGAAAAGCAAACCTTGAAAATCAGCAGAAGCAGACCTCACCAGGCCCCACGAGGGCAAAGCCCCTGCAGCTCCCACTCACTTCTTTCAACTTGAACAGAGTATATACACTCCTTTGCAGGGGTGGGGAGGGGCAAATGCCACAGGAGAATGTCCTTACTTCTAGCATCAACTCAGGTTTTTATTATTGTCACATAGCGTGTTGTTCATTTTGTCCGAGTACCCACCTGAAATATGCTGTGTGGGCGTCCAGGGCAGAAGTGAGAAGGTGAGAGGTGGCTTGGGAACAAAACGAAAACCCGACCTCCTGCTCCTCATCATTGTCTTGCCCAGAGCCCATCAAGTGGTTGGGGCCACGATTCCGGGGAGTTCTGAGGGCAACAGGCTGCTGTCACTGTGTTTGTCCTTCTCCCCAAGAGGACTGCGCCAGGCTGCGATGACCATAAGGAAGTCTCCAGCCCCACATTGGTTATAACTGCCTTTATGTGCTTTGGAACGAAGCAGAGGGGTTTGAATGTGGCAGTGACCCGGTTCTGATGACGGATCTTTCCGTTCTTCTGCCCGCAGGTGGCTTGTTTACGTATGTTTCCGGAGCCAATTTCCTAGGTGAGGTCATTGAATGGACGGGCTATGCCCTGGCCACTTGGTCCCTCCCAGCACTTGCGTTTGCGTTTTTCTCACTTTGTTTCCTGGGGCTGCGAGCTTTCCACCACCACAGGTAAATTTCTCAATTCATCATGTAGCTTTCTGCTCCAAGCTGTCTTCCAGCACTCTGAGTCAGGTATAGAAACCTGAGACATGTATTTTTATAAGGTAAGGTTGATACAGTAATCCGGACTGGTAAATTCTGACTTCGAACTTGGGATTCAGCTGGGCAACAGTATTGTAAACACTTTTTTTTTCCTATGAGTAAAACTAAACCCATGTAGGGAGAGGCACACCCGAGGTGACTTGGGAAGCCACCTGCCACCTTATAGAAGAAGGCTTCTGGGCAAGGACGTTAGGAGTTAGTTGGCCTGGACTCTGTGCCCCCGAGCAGGCTCACCTGCATGGGCTCTAGGTAAGGGTCCAGAGTTCCAAGAAGTATCTTCCATTTCCATGCTTCAATCCGAATTCACTTCTGCCGCATTTCTCAAAGTGTGTTCCATGGGCAGCACTGTCCACAGCTTCACAGATAATTCTAAGGTCCAGCCATGATACGGTACCGCCAGGGAAAAGCCTAGACCCTGGTCTAGTGTGGCTACTATCTTTAATTCTGGCTTTGGTGCTAATAGTCCGGGTAATCACAGAGCCCTGGAAACTCCAGGATTATTCTCCTGGAATCCGTGTGACACCAGGGCTTATTCTGGCACTCCCCTTTATCCGCGACCCCCACCCTCCATAAAGCCTAGCCAAGGTCATGGCTGGCTTCTTGGGAAGGTAGGGTAAGTGAATGCTTATGTGGTGTGATCTCAGGACTCTCCCCTCACCTGGGGAATGCCAGGAATTGTAGGGGTTTAGAACCTTTCCTCATAGGTCTAGCCTAAAGCCTTACTAACTTCCACCTGCCCCCCCAGACCCTGTACCTGCGATAGGGTGGGGACAAAAGCATTAACTAAAAGCATCACTGCAAGGGGAAGAGTAACGCACTAAGTTACTACTGGGCTTTGCACTTGAACTTCAGATCCTTTCTCTAAAATGGCATTTGTGGCTGGAGAGACACCGAGCGAAGGAGGGATAGCCAAAGGGGGAGCAGCCTTGGAACCAGGACCTGGGGGACCCCTTAAGCTTCTGCGTGGGTGTTTTAGTTGGGCTAATGATTAATTTTGTAGTTTTGAAGGTTAAACCAAGAATGGGTTCTTTTCCTCAGAGTGGACTTTATGCAGACGTGTCAGAAATGGATGAAACAGTAGCAGTCCTCATGACGGGCGCCGGCCACCTGCTAGCCTTGGTGGAGACGGGCTTCAGGGCGTCCCCAGCCTGTAAGACAGTCTGCGTTCTCCTCTCCTGAGGCAGAGTCTGTTGCCCACCAGAGGCGGAGAGGGAGAGGGCAGAGAAGGCGTCAGCCAGCAGTCGGAGGGACCCTGGGAAGTGGTCTCAGGTGGGGCCAGTCAGGGGAGGGACAGGAGTTCCACCAGAGGTCTCCAGCAGGTGCAACAGCAAAATCCAAACTGTGGCCCTGTCCTGTGAGGTCAGACTGCTCTATAAGGAAGACCAGGCATCTTTTCTGTAGGGATAACTGGGCTTTGTGAGAAGCAACTCATCAGAGCTCGCTAAACATAGCACGAGAAACCAGCCACCTCCTGTCACATATTATTACCGTTTGCTCTCCGTGATTTTTACTTGAGAGCTACCAGCTTCAACTAGCTAGTTCAACCTGGTCACTGAAGGAGAAAGCCATTTCACAATTAATTCACGTATTAATCTTCCAGGCCTGCCAAAGCAGATGACCACAAACCAAGTGGCTTAAAACAATAGAAATTTATTCGCTCACAGTTCTGGGGGCAGAAGTCTGAAATCAAAGTGTATGTAGGGCCATGTTCTCTCTGAAGGTTCTAGGCGAGGATCCTTCCTTGCCTCCGCCTGGCTTCTGGTTGCACCCCCAACCCGGTGTGTTCCATGGTCTACAGCTCCATCCCCAGTCTCTGCCTCCATGTCCACATGGCCACCTCCCTTGCCCGTCTCTGTCTTGGTGTCTCTGGTCCCCTCAGTCACAGTGGATTAAGGGCCTTTCCTATTCCAGGATGCCCCTGTCTTACCTTCCTAGATCATATCGGCCATGACCCTATTTCCAGGTAAGTCTTCCAGGTTAAGACTTCAAGCATGTATTCTGGGGGGACACAATTCAACCCAGAATATGAGCTAACATTTTCTTGGCATTCCCAAGGCCTCATGAGGGGATATTTTCCTGGGAACATTGCCAGTTCTCTAGGATTTATCTTGCCCGTGGTCTTTGGGGTCTCTGATTCAACCCAAGTGAATCCATTGAGCAGTTCCTTCCAGCTTTCCCCTTTTTTTTATTGTGATAACATAAAATTTACATTTTGGCTATTTTCAGTGTACCATTTAGTGGCATTAGGTACATCCATAAGGTTGTGCAACCATCACCACAGTCCCCTGGCTATTACTTTTTATTTCCCAACACAAGAAGCTTCAACGTTTGTTTATGGGAGAGGATGCAGGAGGGAGAAGGAAGATGGACAAACGGCCATCTGCAAGAGTCAGGCCCTGGGTAACTGTAGGTTGCTTTGTAACAAGGATCTCAGACCCAGCAAACCTCAGGGGTTGACCACTGCTTATTATAATTATTCCTTTCTTGTCTTTTAGGTTCTACCTCAAGATGTTTGAGGACTATCCCAAATCTCGGAAGGCCCTCATTCCATTTATTTTTTGAAGAAACCAGATAAAGAAGGAACTAAAAGCTCCCATATGACTGTTGAACACCATCAAGCTGATGAGCCTGTAACTTTTCAAGTTCCAGTGTGTATCTGTACCGGGAGGCCTCTTGTGTTCTGACAGCCGGCCTGGAGATTCTGTGAGGTGGCTATTTCACGTGTCCTCCACCCTCCCAGGGTCTCTCTCCTGGTCTCCTGTTGATGCTTCCACAAGGCTCTTCTCCACACAGAGGCATCTGTCCGCTCTTTATCTAGTCCTCCTAGAAAGTGCAAAGCTTCCCTATGTCTTGTCTTCTCGGGGTGATCTAAGTACGTGTGGCCTAACACCTGCTCTGTGTCAATGTAAGACAGCCCTGTAGCCAGGAAAGTTTTCAGTTGAGGGCAGTGTTTGTAGAATTTATTAAAGGTACATATTTTACGCCCATACAAATGAGCAGATACTGAAATTCTGGAGCTGCATGGACCCCGAGCAAATTCACTCCCAAATGAAAACCCAGTCACACTTTGCTCTCTCTCAGTTAATTATGAAAGATGTGAGATGATGAAGTGGACTTTTAATAGAGGAGACCTCGCTTCATAATTGCTGAAGGTGCAAGGAGGCATTGACCCCATTTCAATCTCAGCGCCTCTGGCTTCCTGAAGTTTCCAGGATCCCTGTCAGAGATATCCCAGAAAACTGGTGTGGGGTTTATTGAAGGTCAGGTTTTCTTGACCACAAAGAGAGAGGCCTGACTCTGGTTGGCAAATGAGATAGTAAAAAAGCGTTTTACAGTAGACACCGCCCACTCCGATATTCTCGGAGACCCGTGGAAATATCCAAATAATGAGAGAGTGACAAAGAAGGGAAATGACTGAGCAAGATCATACATTGCTTGCCTGGATGGGACGTTTACAGTGACAGGGAAGCATTTCAGAAGCGCTCTGGCAACTTTTCTGCGATTTTTTCGTGGCAAGTCCTCAACATTTCCTAGGGGCGGTCTGAACATCAGTCGTCCAAGTCCCTAAGGGCGCCAGGCTGAAAGCTACTGCCAGAGGCCTGTGGCTGGGCAGAAACCCTCTTTTGTTTGGCTCAGACAGGGATTCAGCATATAGTTTGACTTTCTTTCTTTTCTTTTCTTTTTTTTTTAACATTAGAAGTTTCCAAAATTTCAAAGTTAGGTCTCTACATTTCAGTTTCCCTTAAAACGCTGGAGGCTGTGGGCTCACGGAACCCACTAAGAATGGAGACTGATCAGCTAGTGCATATTAGAATTTGCAACCTCGGTGGAGGAGTCACCCTGGCGTGGGTGCTCAGACACTGGGTTCTTTAAGGGAGGGGCTGAACACTCAGAATCAGAATATAGGAAAATATTTGTCCCCTCAGGTTCAGGTTTGTGGCAAGCATCAATCATGTTTAGCAAGCCCTTTTGGGAAATGAACACCAATTTTATCAGGTGAGGTGCTAAGTACAGAAATTCACTGTATAAGAAACAAGATGTTTGAAAGGTCTGAGGGTGATATATATAACTGAAAAATACAAACTGTAGTTATATAAATGTTTTTCTGGTTTTTTTTGTTCATTAAATGCCTCTCAAATCATGGATGTTAAGTAATTTTGTTTGAACTGAAAGATACCTGGGCTCATGAGGATTTTTATAAGGTGTTGAGCTGTGGAGCTGTGGGGTTTTGTTGTTGTTGTTTGCCTGCTTTCTTTCTTTCTTTCTTTCTTTCTTTCTTTCTTTCTTTCTTTCTTTCTTTCTTTCTTTCTTTTTTCTTTAAAAAAGTATTGCTTCCTTTTTGCTCTTCTCTCTTCATTTTGTCAACTTGAAATTAGGGGCTCTGAGTTGAAAACAAAAGACTTATATGGTTTCTCAACCACAGCTCAGAACTGCAAACAGGTGTAGGAAAGGTGCTGGAGAATGTGCTAAGGCTCGATGCCATCCCTAATATCTTAGTGACATAAATCTTAAGGTGTAGCTTGGGCTCTGTGAAATAAAAGACTTCCAATTCTCTCCATGACATTGAAAATTGCCTTTATTAAAACCTTTATCTTATTACCATATACAATATCTGGGCCAGTCCTTGAAATGTAGTCAGTGCTCAATGAACGGCCGCTCCTTTTTGCCCAGTAGGTCCAATCTTGGGACAAAACTGCCATTCGGTGATTGCATTTTTTTTTTTTGCCACAAGAGGGTGCTCTCTAGAATTTTTAGGCCAACCCTGATTTAATAAGGTAATTTACATATTTGGAAATTGAAAAAACCCTATTGTCCTTTCAAGTTCACATGATCGTGAACCTTGCTTTTTAAAAATTTATTTATGTTTTAGTCTAACGTCGGGCTCGAACTCATGACCACAAGATCAAGAGTGCCACACTCTATCAAATGAGCCAGCCACGTGCCCCTCATGTGGACCTTCTTAATTTAAACATAGTGTAGAGTAAACTTCACATAATCTTAACTCTTCCCTTGATAGCTGAGGTATTCTCAGTGCTCTAAGACCACTGTTTTCAACACGTTTTCTCTGGGCTAGAATATGTATGCAGACTGAGTACAATAAAAGTCTGAAGGGAAGGTGTGCTCATCCCTAAACGTATTTCCCTTTTCTCCTAAAACTAGAATGCTATGAAAATGTGGCTAATTTAGGTTTCTGTGGAGTGGTTTTTGAAACCAGGGTCTAAAATATGACAGTGGCTTAGCTAACAAGATAAGTCTGTCTCAATCTTGCTAAAATTTTCATGGAGGGAATGTTTTCCTACTGACCTTGTAGAAGATGTTGTAGTGTTCTGTTTGTCTTCAGATTTAAAGAGCCGAAGCACATTTAAGACATCCACTGGTCCCATCCCTTCACGTAATGGATGGAGACGCCAAGACCCACAGTGTTGAAGTGCCTCCCAGGGTCACATAGCTGGTCAAACAGCCATCCTCCCTTGTCCCTTTAAGGATCAGAAGTCTATCTTCTCAGGGCATAGCAGGCTTTTAGAAAGAGAGACCCAGCGCAGCCTAGACATGGGTGTGAATTTAAGGCCTGAACACACTTATTCACTCTGCAGTCATTTATTATTTAAAATATGGGAAATGGTAAGGGGTGGGAGGATATTGTTAAGACATGATTCTTGCCCTTTAAGGGTCACCATTTAGATTTCTGAAGAACTCAGGCAGGAGAAAAATAGCCAGAGATTCAGAAATCTACCAACTGTCATGTCCGTTTTGTGGAATCTGTTGCCCTCATTCTGTGGAGAGGATCAGGCTAGGCCCTATCATGAACCTATTTCATAAAACAAAGGTGTAGTAGAGATCGTGCTGTAGAAAAGATGACAGCTGTGTTCAATCTGAAGAAGCTTCCAAGTCACGAGTTCCCTTTACCCCTAAGGCCTATCTCCGTAAGGCACATCATTGGCTGTTCTGCATTCGAAAAGGAAAAAAAGACCTCTAATGAGGACTTTGCAATTAAATAGTGATTTAGGTGGTCTAACCCTTTCAGGAACAAATAAATAAACCTATGGTTTACTGCCTTGAAGTTTTTCAATAGCTGCCTTGACTTTTTGTGGTAACCTTATGGTAATCTCACCAAGAATCAAAGAATAAAGCTCTTGGCACGTGAAGGAATGGATTGAAGAGTCATTTCCTTTCTTGCCTGGCCTTTGATTCTCCAATAGACTGTGGGCTGAGGTCCAGGCAAGGCAAATAAGCGAGGGTAACAATAAATGTTAAGCAAAACCTTCTAGAAAAGGCTGTTGATTGTTTTATAGCATCTATACTATCCCATGATAAAAGAAAGAGGCATGGTGCCAGATGGTAATGTGGGTGCTTGGATGACTTAATAGCCACTGAGTGGATTTAATTTCTGAGTAAGAGATTTGCTCATTCTCTCTGTAAGTCCATTAAACTGTGATCTTAAAAGGTTGCATGTTCTTTGTATCGGGTCTCATTTCTTCCCACCAACCAGAGCTTGGGATTTGGATGAGTGAAATACATTGTTGAAGAAGGTTAAATAGGTACTGACCTGTGTTAGTTCCTTTTGTCCTCACCTTCGTGGCCTCAGGGTTTGGCTCTGCTCAGTGGAGGCAGAGGCTACAGGTGAGGGATATCCAAGACCCTCTCCCACAGGGCAGGCTGGCTGGGAGCTGGAGGAGAGCCGAGAGGGCAGGGTGGGGAGTTTTGCCGGAGGAGCGGGGGCGGAGGCAGGGGAAGGTTGACAATGAGCTCAGGGAAAGGGCCTTGGGAGAGAGGGGCCTCTCCTGACAAGAGTGCGCTTCCTTCCCTTCCCTGGTCTCCGTCGGCGTAAGTCCGATCCCTTCCTTCTCCTCCCAGGGAAAGAATCCCTCTGGGAGAGAGAATAAGCTCTTCTCGGAGCTCCTTTTTCACAAGGAAAGATGCTGAGTTTCTTTAAACACAAGCCGCAGGGTTGTGCCTCACGATAAAGAGTTTCATTGTACTTCTGTCCACTCACCTCGTAAAGATGGTTTTAAGTCTGTGCATCAGTGACACTTGTGAGAAAGAGGTGAAGGAATTGTTATGAGAAGTGTGTGGCTGCCCCCAGGTTCTGTGAGGCCAGTGGGGAGATGAGAGCCTCCAGAGGAGGAAGCACCGCAGGCTTTGCCCTTTCCATGGTCTCTGTTTTCCTTTACTCCCGAGGCCCCAAAGGAAAGGATCCTTCCTTATAAGGGTACGTTTTTTTCAGCACTGACTGGAAAGTAAATGCCATAAAATCAATTGTTTCATTAATTGATTCATTCATGCATTTAATTATTAATGAAAGATTCCTATGCTATATATGGAGAGGTATAAATCTGAATATAAACTGTGTTAAGTTAAAGATGTATATCGTATAAACTCTGGAGCAATGACTCAAAAAAGATATAGGTAATAAACCAATAGTGGAAAAGGAAAGGAATCACAAAAAACAATTCAATCCCAAGATAATGTAGGGAAAGCAGAAAAAATGAACCTAAAACAGATAAGAGAAAAAAGAAGATAGCGAGATGGTAAATTTAAATCCAACTGTATCAGTAATTACA